TTTTGTGTATTAAAACCCGACTGGTAATCATATGCTATCACTCAGTGCAACGTAGCTGCTCTCCAAGATGTTTGGCAACACTGTGATTTTTCCAGACAACCTTATCTTGCGATCTCTCCGATCCCTGTTTTTTTCCACCCTTAGTTTCCGATTTTTAAGGACACCCCCGAGTACATGGACTCGAAGTCTACCCATCCTAACGTTATCGTAAATACCGGTACTCGTACTGGTCCAAGTATGATACTTATGCTGCCAAGTGTGTGAACTAGGCTGAGAAGGATACGTGAGGTCTACTGTAGCCTACTCGTAAGGTTAGTTAGATCTCAGACCCCATCTTGCTCCGCAGCGCAGCACGAGTAATTTACCATTAGACTATCAGTGGTACTCCCGACCCGATTACCGTATGGAACTCCATACCTGTATTATAGGGTAATTAGAATAACCACACAGGTACGGTAAGCCCCCTCCCACCAAAATTGATGCGTGGTGCCAAATCAACAACCCACACCTTATTTATTTATTTACACATACAGTACGCTTCGAGTACAGTACCGCACAATACCAGTACCATACCAGTACAGTACAGTAATAAAGGGACAGAGGGGACACAACCCGTAAATAACTTCCCGCCGCACCATTTCGAGTGAGAGTCTAATAAGAAGCGGATGCGAGGCAAAAGCCCCCTCCCCTCCCGACCCGCATGATGATAACGATATGATACCACGGCGAAGGGAAGGGAAGGGAAGGGTTCTTCTTCTGCCTGTTGACCGCATAAACGGCGCTGCACGATACAGTACCGGTAACCGTAGGGGCAGATTTGAATCTGAGATGGATGATGACATGTATGGTACTATGATAGAATCCGGTTTTCCGGCTCAATTCCTTCGTCTGCTACGGATACCGGGAACCTTCGAAGCATAACTCGAGTACTTACTTGCTACTTGCGCGGTGCATTTTTCATGCGTTGTTTTTCATGCGTATTGTATGTATGGCATTGGTACTGCATCGTTTGGAGAAGAGTATGTACTGTACTGTACCTGCTTGTATGCTTATGCTTATGCTTGATAGCAATGGCCTCGGGCGTTACTCATGATATGCGTGCCGACTACCGAGGCGCTGTTTTCATTCCGCATTCACAATTATGGACTCTGTGGAAATTACAGTGATTGGGTGGTCGGGGAATTTTGGGTAAGTTCCTGAGAAGTGCGCTAGAATGAGACGAACAAACAAAGAAGTGGTCTGGATTCCAGTCTGATACAATATTATGATTCCAGGGCCTTTCACTTGTTTGTACTTATGCTTGGGCATAAAGTGACGTGCGGGTCCCTAGCGAGCTACCTGTAATGGGTTGAGTGAGCGAAGGAGGACTCTTTAACCTGAACTCCATTGCGAGATTTATAGTTTTCCTTTGTTCAATGGAAGTTTCACCCCTGGCCAAGGTACTCGTGCTGTATCATGCTCGGAACGCGTTCCCGACAAAGCTATTTACCGCTCTCACGCATGCCTATTATAACGTGTTCTGCCCATGTGTACTGGTACAGTACAGTACCGGTATTGTATCATAACTGTAGACTATTTAGTCCATGAGAGTCCACCGGAAGGGGGAGAATTTGTTGTACCTCGGGCCTTCGGCCCTTCATATGAACTTCGGGCGCAAAACACCCGGATCCTGGGTCCTGGCTCCTTCTCTAACAGGTAGAGAGGGCTTTGATGGTCTCTCTCTCTTTTCTTTTTCAATTTCTTCCGCGTGTCGTCCACCGTAACAGGAACGGAAGGCGTTGGGGGAGGGGGGGAAGGGGGGGTGGACTGGGTATTTGCTTGTTGTGAGGTAGTCTATATCATACAATTCAAGCGAATTCCTTTCTTTTGCTCCTTTTAAAAACTCTGATACCGTACCATATCACACACGGCTAGATGAGATCCCTCCCCAGGCTATTGTAGACGGACTAATCCGGCATTCGGTAGAGCAGAGCAGATCCACAAAGTACGGTAGAGCACAATGTGCTGTACACGAGTACAGTACAGTGCGAGTACTGTACGAGTACATTTGCTCTGTACCTTTTCAGTATGATACCTATATCTGGCAGAAAGTTATCTGAAAATGCCGAAATTCCGTAGGGGAAATGGAAAAGAGTTATCCGAAGATGAGATAGGGGTTTTTTCTTTCTTTCTTTCGCTGTTTGCCCGGTTGTGTAACGAGAACCCGCATTTTCAGATACCTTATTGCCAGATACAAGTGCATGCGGCGTAGTACCGGTGGTGCCGTACCGTATTAACCTGGACAAGAGCAACTCGTCTTAGGGACAGGGGACCTTGGGATTTCCCCTCCGAGCAGACTACTGTACTTAGTACTCGTACAGTACTCGTACAGTATTGTAACGAGTTGTTGTCTTATTGCTTTGCCGGTATTTTCTCCAGTCTCCCCCTCCATCAAAATAGGAAATTTTGACGTCCCGGCGGGGCAAATTGCTCTTACAGTATCCAAGTCAATAAACATGGGTACTGTACTCGAGTACAGTACTCCTAGCACAGTAGTCACTCGTACAGAACCGTCGGAGCGAAGATATGGAGCAGGGTTTCCCTTCCCGAGAAAGGAAAATGGAGACGGGGTGCTAAAAACTTACCGCCGATCAATATCAGCAACTGTTCTATAACTTGTCATTATCATTATCATGATTCTCGTCATCAGCATTAGGGGAGTTTTCAGATAGATAGAGGGATTAACGGGGGGGGGTGGTCAACACGGGGGCGGTTAGACTCCGGTAGATATCGTGCAAGTTTTTGTATTGTGTCACACACGGGCGAGAGAACACACAAATGACAAATGGGTAAAAAAAAAAATTCTTTCAATAATAATCTTTTGTTTTTTTTTACTTGTTACAGTGCTGACAGCAAGCACCCGAAACATTCGACCTCGAGTCTTGCACTTGAATACTGTGCGAGTACCGGTACGGTAACTTATGGTCGCTCTGATGCGCACGGACAATTTGACTACAGTACGAGTACGAGTACTGTACTCCGAGCACTGCACTCGAGCACATTTACTTGATTCGCGTGCTCGGGTACTTATTGCCCATAGCACGTACGGCACCGCGCACAATTATGATATTAAAAATGTGCACCGAGGCTTTCTCCATCTCAAAGGGATTTTTGGAGTCAGTCGCGGTGAAGCCGTTCAATATCTGGTATTTCGGTGAATTTCCTTCTTGCTCTGCTTTCGTGGGGAAGGAAGGGAAGAAGGAAAATGACGCCTCGTCACAAGCAACTAGTCATCATCTATCTACCGGTACTGTCCCGGTACTGTTCTGGTACTGTTCACTACTCACGGAGATTACCAAGGCTTTCGGGTGGCAACAAGACTTGACTGCGCACTTAGCGTTCTTACTCTTCCGAAAGTGACGATGGAGAGAGAGGGCTGGCATCACAGTAATCGGGCGTCAGGAGCGAAAGCGAACGGGAAAAGAATGGGAGGAAAAATCTTGAAAAGAAATGTTTCCTGAAACGCATCGGGCGCTGCACGGTGGATGAGTGGGGGTGAAACGAAGGGAGCGAACTGTCAGCCCTGAGTACTTCTTGTACGATATGATGCTTGATGCTCGCTAAAAAGGAATCATATATGGTTTGTGGTGGTGACATTTGTCGCTCCCGTGTTGCTGTCGGAGAGTCTGTCAGGTCCCGAGGGAACGGGCACACACGTTCCTGCTCGTATCAGGAGGGGTTGAGAAGGTAAAATAGATAGATAAATAAATAGATGATGATGATGATGATGACGATGATGAGGATGAGGATGATAAATAATGAAGAATGGAGAGTTATTTCAAACATAAAAATACAGCTATCGCAATTCTGTTGTCCTGTTTAGAAGAGAGAAAGAAAAGGTTAAAAGTGTCCAGTCGAGTCTCAAGTCATCCCAACAGGTGTCAGATACCGGTACTCGAGTACGAGTAGTATTCGTACTTTTGAACAAGTATGTTTATGTAGGGAAGGTGAGGAGGTGTGGGTGAGGGTGAACGTGAACCTCAACCACTGGATCCATGTGTGTGCGATGTTTGACGCGAAGAGATCAGGCATCGAACGTCATCTGTATGGAGAGGTCAAAAACTGCGTGATACGGTAGGGTATGGCAATGGCTAACTGCATGGATGCAATGGCATCCCGCCGTACTGTAAACCGAGTAGATACACATGATGATCCATTGAAGGTGATGATGGGTGGTGATGATGAGGGGTCCGGTTTTCGACAGAGCTGGAGCTGATTCTGATGCAGTGGAGATGGTAGCTGAAAGGTCGTTGGAGGGGGCATATGCCCTCGAACCAATCTTGCATAAAGGACCTGTTATTTGATTCTCTACCGTACTCGAGTATCATACTCCTACTCCTCCTATCATACCCAACCCCACGAGCCACCATCACAAAGGGAGGAGAGGCGGAGAGGAAAAAGGAAAAAAGGAAAAGAATAAAAATGAAATAACAAAGGTGCAAAAGGGATCATAATATTATGTTCTTTTGGCGCGAAAGGTAATAATCCTTGCCATTCGTGGCCAAAAGTTATGGATTATTTATTTTTTCCGTGAGAGCCGCACCAAATTGCGGTAGGAGAGAGTGAATTGGAAAGTCCTAGCGCCTCCAAAGCGTTTGTTGAACTCTTACGGGCTGCAAGAGGGGAGAGCTTCAGGGGTTTGTGTGGATGGATATGCATTGTGCTACATACAGCATACAACTATGTATCATACTCACTCACTCACACTTGCATCCTTCCTGCTTAACCTTACTCGAGTATAGGCAGCTGGGCACTGAATGAGAACGGTCGGGAAGAAGATTCCTTCGTTGCGACTCGTTACTCGCAACAGTGAATCCCAGACATGGTGAAACACGTCCAGGTCTAATCTTCTCAACAACCAACTCCTCCCCCCCTCCCTCCAAGTTCCTTTTCGTTGTGTCTCTTTCCTGGTGCTTCTCGCTCTTCTTGGTATTTCCCTTCAAATTCATACCCCTCCCTCTCACCACCACCACCACCACCCCCCCAGTCCGCCCGTAACCGCCGGGCTGTCGTTCAAACCCCCCCCCCGTCCTCCCACCCACCTAACAACCACCCTCGTCCCTTAAGGGATTCTGAACGATTGGTTCGCGGCGGAGGAACTGGTTCTAACCCTGGACTCCCAATTGTTCTCTGGCTTGCTCCGCTCACCCTCTTTCTCGCCATTCTATTTGCTTGCTTGCTTGCTTGCTCCTCTCTCTCTCTTCCTTTTGGTTTGCTTTCTCTCCCACCCCTCCCTTCTCATAATCTCCAAAACACCACCCCCCTCTTCCTCCATCCTCTCCCCTTCACCCTCACCCCTCCCTTTCTACCTCACCCTATTTTGGCTCTGCGAGTCGTTTCTCTTCTCCGCTTTTCCCCTAATTCCTACTTTATTCTCTTCGTGCGCCCCCCTCAGCTCTTGCAGTCGTGTCGCTGGTGCTCTTTTTGCTGCAGGGCTACGCTTTGTTTGGTGCCCGATTTAGTCACTGCAACGACTACCCTCGACTAAAACGAAAAGGCGTTAAGAAACGCCTTTTACCGGATCCAACCCCCCCCTCTACTATAATTCTGGTTGTAGGCCCTCTTGGACGAGTAGCCTGCTCAACTACTGGTATATTCGTTCCCCTACACGTTCCACGCATCAGATCTTCGTCTCGAGTCTCCTCCCTTTGACCTTTTGCAGTTGAATCTGTTTATATCTCGAAACCTCGCTTGTGAGGAGAGCAACCTGCTTTGTCGTGGCCGAGTAGATTCATCGATATATACATTGCTCTTCCACCCTTTTTTTTTTTTTTTGTTTACCCTCGCTGCTGCTGCTGCTGGTCATCAACAACCATGGCTCTACTCGCGCCGAAAAGTCAGTATGTTCACAGTAGTTCACACCTCCATGCTACACCTCCTACGAGTTCGGCTCTTTCTCAAGCTTCCCCAACAAATTCTGAATTTTCTGACGGTACAGGTGTATTAGATGATATTCGGTAAGATCAACTTTGTAATCGTATCTGTTGCACTATTAACGCTCTTGTAGATCTTGGGATGAGCGAAAAGTTGGCGGTTGGCTGCGGGATATTGGTTGCTCCAAATATGAGGGTGATTTTTCGAGTATGTTTCATCCGAGGACACGAACCTAATGATGTGCCGTGGCGGCTAACGGAAGATTTGGCTCTAGGTAATAATATCAACAGGAGAGGCTTTGTTGGAGTGTGATCATTCGGTTCTCAAGGAATTAGGGATAAAAAAGGTCGGGGATCGTGTGCGAATATTTGTTGCGATAAAAGCCCTGAGAACAAAGGCGTATGGGAATGGCAAAAAGCGCAATAGGGTGAGTTTCCAAGAATTTGGGTGGATGCGTCGAAAACGTGCTTACAAACTCTTCAGGATACCTTGGCTGCTCTTGATAATATGAACGGAATGCCACCATACCGTACCCCGACGCAGTCGCCGTATCACCCGTCTCCCTCTCAGAGTAATAAACGGTATTCACGAGCTCTTCAAAATGACATATCTTCCACCCTCAATAGCAGCTCATATAGTCGTCCCGATAGTCCTAGCGACTCGGAATACCCCCGATCTTATCCGCGGAACGGGAGTGCTCGCAACGTTATCAGTCCACCGCTAGAATCTGGCCGTTCAAACTTTGGCCCCCCGACTCCGGCTTCTGGTTCTTCTTCTCACCCGACAAAAACACCCAGGACTCCCCATGACTACAGCAAACCTCCCCAAGCGGTCGCCAATTCCCCTCACCATATGAAGCCAACTCACAGACAATCTCCAAGTCTGGACAAGGGAATTATGGGTCAGGATAATGTTAGACAGGTGAGTTTGTGGAAAAACCCGTCCCACCTGGTCAGTCCTAATTTTAGCTCAACAGGATGCGATCAAGGTTATTGGTGATGGTGGTCAATATCGTGTTATTAACATTAGTGATTGTAACACTCCGGAGACACTGATGCGTAAGATTATCAAGAAGTTTGGTATTAATGACCATTGGCCAAGTTGGGGTATTTATAGTATTGTGGATGAAAACGGGAAAGATGCAGCCAGATGCCTTAGCGATACTGAACTGCTTCGGATAGCCCATGATGTCAATCGGCCGGAGCGCACCAGGCTTATATTAGGGAAAAAGGTGGCTCCACCCCTGCCTTTATCCTCCGAATTTCGTGTCGCTCAGCAAATTGCGAGGGAGCAGCAGGATATGGCGCAAAAGAATTCTTCGGCGGAGGCCGTCTACGGGAACGCAAACAACTCCAAGGTCAAGGCCCCGTTTGGGTCGGATCTTCGTGATATCCCCTCATCTCCAATGAGCACTTCAAGTCAGCTGTCCCCGGCTTCTCCTACCGCGACAGATCCAGCCTCACCTAGGAGTCGAGATTCGGGACCTAGTCGCAAGGCATCAAAGAAAATCACCGCCTTCTTTGGGCAGCGCCCGCCTAGTGAATTGATCAGTTCAAATCTGGCGGAATACTTCCCAGATCATGAGCACAAGGTTTTGGAGAGGACTGTTCGCAACTCAATGAGGCGCTCCGCCAGGATGAGCAGATACAACAATCGTTTCAGCGTTGCTACTACCAGGAGTTATGCGTCAAGTCTGAGTGATGCCCCACCCGTTCCAAGCGTTGGGGATGCTTGGTTGAATGCTGCTAGTCCGATCATGTCAAATGTTCCCAGCAGGGTCCCGAGACCACTGTCGATCCGAAAGTCGTTCTTGCCTTCAACATCCTTTTCGGAAAATCGGGATTCACTTGGGGCAGTCCCGGAGGATGGAGAGTCATCGCCTATGGGCTCTGAGCGGAAGAGTTATATGTCTTTTGATAGCGCTAAAGAGGATTCTATTAGAGATTCCGTCAACGTTATTGTCACAGATACCGATACTGGGAGTACCATGGAGAGCTATTTGGACACCCATAGCAACGCCTCTACTCCAGCAACTGAAGTCGACCCCCATGCGGCCAGTATGCTTGGCCAATTCTTGAGTGCAGGGGAGTCGGAAGAAGAGGAGGAGGATGGTGAGGAGGAATACCAGGAAGATAGCTGGGGCGGTTTGAGGTGGATGAAGGGAGCACTAATTGGAGCTGGGTCCTTTGGAAGCGTTTTTCTGGCATTGAATGCCTTGACTGGAGAGCTTATGGCTGTCAAGCAAGTCGAGATGGCATCCGGTGGCAAGGAAGATGCTAGGAAGAGGAGCATGGTAGAGGCCTTGCAAAGGGAGATTGAGCTTCTCAAGGATCTCCAACATCCCAACATTGTCCAGTACCTTGGATCCAGCGACGAGGATGATTCACTCAATATTTTCCTTGAATACGTTCCTGGTGGATCTGTTGCAGCTCTACTTAACACCTATGGTCCACAGAAGGAGCCCCTTATCCGCAACTTTGTCCGCCAGATCCTTACTGGTCTCGCTTATCTCCACAACAAAGACATTATTCATCGCGATATCAAGGGTGCCAATGTTCTGGTTGACAACAAAGGTGGTATCAAAATCTCAGATTTCGGTATTTCCAAGAAAGTCGAGGCTGGCCTTCTTACCTCGTCGAGCCATAGGCCTTCTTTGCAGGGGTCGGTTTTCTGGATGGCTCCAGAAGTTGTTAAGCAGACCTCTTATACTCTCAAGGCTGATATCTGGTCGCTTGGGTGCCTTATTGTCGAGATGTTCACTGGAACTCATCCTTATCCCGATTGCTCTCAGCTACAGGCGATCTTCAAGATTGGCACCGGAGGATCTGCGCCAGCCATCCCTTCAAAGTGTTCGGCGGAAGCAAAGCAGTTCCTTTCTCGCACCTTCGAGTTGGATCATGTCAAGAGGCCCACGGCTGACGAATTATTGCTTAACCCCTTTTTGAATCCGATGGTTGGACAAGGTCCGATAGGGGAATGAGGCAGGGTTGGCTTTTTCGACATGGAGTGATGACCTGTTATGATGATGGCTGGGTTGTATTTGGTGTCTGATTTTATTTTTATTTTTATTTTTAAAAAAGGTTCGATTTTTATACTTTCTTGTTTACATTTTTTCCCCGTAGGGGGTCCTAGTCGGCTCTGCCTTTCGTGTGGATCTTAACTTTTTTCTTGTTCTTTTTTTCTTTCTTTCTTTTCCACTCACTTTTTTTTTATTCATCTTGCATGCATTATTTCGGGAGAGATATCCGATGGGTTGTCCGGGGATTTTTTTTCTTCTTTTTTCCTTTCTTTCTTTTCTCTGATATACCATTTTCTGCTTTTCTCGTTATCTCTGCATCGCCGGCAATTACCTAAACGCTTTGGGTCTCATCTCATTCTTTTTCTCTCTAAATAATCTGGGCGGTTCTAGCGATGGATATGGTGTCTGAGGAAGCCTTGTTGGGAGTTTTAGGTACGGGTTAGGCATGGAAGGAGGCCTGGTTTCTATGGCCTCCATTACGGCAGTAATATTTTTGACCTAGTCTAGCTAGAGGTCACATCAGTGAAATGGCTTATGAAGAGGCTTATCATACTTATGGAATCTATTTTTTGGGGGGGTGAGATGTGATTCTTTCTTTGGGCAGTTGCTACGGGGTCCCTGACCTCCTGCCCAGCTAGAGTGTATGAGTGTATGTCTGCTGTACTAGCACACGTACCCAAATCATTTGGGGGTAGTGTTCTAACATGCATTTAATGGGATCATAGGCGCTGCATATTTAGGCGCCGTGGACTGGTCAACTGTCTGGTGATGCCACCCTACAGCACAGTATCATACAGGACGGGCGTCGTCACGAGTGACAGAGGCTCACTTTGGCTGCTATTTCAGAATATCATACTTCGTTACTGTTAATTAAGTCATGACCATAGTGGTGGACCTATTGGAGTATAAGATCATCGGCATTGTATTATATTATGGATGATATTTTTCGTAGTATGGTTTATTTGTTTGGCACGCTACCGTATTATATCATACCAGGTTATTGGGCGTTCTGAACACCAATTGACCGTCGATTTCAATAATTTAAATTATCCTGGTATCACCGAACCGGTATACAACCAATCGATCAAGCTTGCCATATTCCCCTACCGATAGATGCAGTATCACTAATATTTGGTGTGGATGGACCCTTCCTCCTAACCCTACGGTATTCTACCTCCTTATCATACATTTCTTTTTTCTCCACCCCTCCTTAACTTAAGCCTATTTCTATCACCGCTTCAGCCCGGTCCGTGTAGAGCTCCCCTCCCCCTCCCCAAACTTTCCCTCACCGCAGAGGAAAAAGACAATACTGTACCGTCTATACGCTATTATTATACAGTATCGTGCCGGTGGTTTTTTTGTCGGCAGATACTTTGGTTCCTTGAACATCCCTCAGGTCGATCACTTCGACATCACACTGCAGTGGAACCACCGCTCTTTCGCTTGCTATGTCGCTTTCTCGTTTGATGAGCAAACGGGAGAAGCGCCCGAGTCCGCTCAAGAGGGATAAGCCAGATAAGGTATGTGCATTCCGGCCGCGGCGTATTGTTTTCTGTCTCTCCGGGGTGGTCATGCCCCTAGATTACCTGGCCCTCGCTGCTTCTTCGTCCTCTTTCTCTGTCCCCCACCCCCCCTTCCGCCCTGCTACTCCGGCCCTAATTCTTCTCTCACATTCAATACTTCTTCCTTGCTATGGGGGCGATAGTAGATCGAGAGTTTTTTTCCATCAAAAACTAACGGAGCTATGCCGAACCCTCCCTGGATACAGCCTCGTCTCTTCTGCGGCGACCTCTACGGGGGCGAAGAAAAACCGAGAAAGTCATTGCCTAAGCCAGGCGATTCTACCGGTACAAATGTAGTAGTTGAAATGTTCTGGAATTACCAGAGCATCCTCGCAGCCGCTTGGGGGGTTCACTCGAGCTTACCAAGAGTGTCTATGCAGGTGACGGAGATTGCGAATGAGCTGGCGAAAGTGGGCATCAAGGTTGAGGACCGGACGGTCCAGCGGGTGCTACGGGGTCGCTACGCGAACGGGAATGTCGAAAGGGCGCTGCAATTGCTCGTAATGATTGAGGACTCCAACGACGGCATCGTCTCTAGGGTCAGGGACGACGTGAAGATTCTGGGCGCGGAGAATCATGGCGGGGTCACTTGTTATCTGGATACGCTGCTGTTTGCCATGTTTGCCAGGCTGGACGCTTTTGAGGTGGAAGCCCTTTTTCCTTCCCCTCCCCATGCCTCCCCTTTTGTTTGCTGGAGGGGAATGGGCTTTTGGTTGTCACGTTGGCTGAACCGGGTTTCCTGCAGGCTATGCTATATAATGTGTTTGACGAAGATGACGAGAAGCGAAGAAAGCTCGCAGCGCTCTTGCGACTGTTTGTGAACCTGCTGCGCTCGGGACATTTGGTTACCACGGATATAGTAGGGGTCCCCTCTCTTGGTGTTAATTGAGAAACCTATATAACTCTTCTCTCCCCCTCGTTTTTTTAGATCAGCCAGATACAGCACTCCATTGCGGAGTGTGGTTGGGAGGAAGCTTCGTCACCTCAGCAGCAAGACCCTTCGGAGGTTTTTACTTTCATCACCGATACACTTCAGCTGCCCTTGTTGACGGTAAAAGTTGATATTGCCCACGGGGGCAAGGAGATAGTTGAGGATGACCACAAGTTCATATCTGAGAGGCTCTTGAATGTAGCTCTGCCCGATGAAGGTGCTGATCCTAGAGATCCGATACCTCTAGAGGCCTGTCTTGAAGGTTTGAATACCTCTAGAACGGCTGGTTGGGCCAGTGAGTACATGAGCTTATTCGTGTGTAGAATATTTTAACGGACGTGTGGACGTTAGGCGTCAACTAGAGCGTAGAGCAACCGCTGATACGGTGCATTCACACGATGTGGAGAAGGGTTCGGCACTTCATATCGAGACTGTGGACTTAGGTAGTTCACCGAATACACCTGCAGCTACCCCGATATCCTCACAACCTCCTCCCCTCGCTTCCGCTCCTTCTGTCCTTGGGCCTTTAGCGGCGGGAAAACCTTTGCTTGTGAGGACGGTTAAAGTTGAGGGCGAAATTGAGAGCGAGGATGGCAAACTTAAGAAGTCTACCACCTTACGGAGGGAGATGCTGCTGCCCGCCTGGTGCTTCTTTAGTGTCTTACCTTTCTACACCGATACCTTACCTACCCCCGCACCAAAGACCTTTGCAGAGCACTTTTCGGCAAAGCGACCTGTGTTGGGGCTATGCCTGAAACGGTATTCTTGGAATACGACCGGTGGGGCGCGAAGGGACCATCGGCGAGTGGACATCCCATTGCAAATTGCGTTGCCTACCTTTGTGGCTGACGATGAGATGGGCGGAGACGATGATGGCCCGCTATACGGGAACTTCAAATTAGTACTCCAATCGGCCGTGTGCCATCGTGGGAATTCAGTTCATAGCGGCCATTACATTGCCCTGATAAGAGGAGAGGATAATAAGTGGCTGCGTTTTGACGATTTAGCATACGCGAACAGGGTCTCCGAGATAGAACCCGAAAGGGCATTCGAGGAAGAGAGCCCTTATCTACTATTTTACCAGGTTCAGCCTATAGAGGATGACACTAGCGCTACAACACCTAGCGTAGCCTCAACAATGGACTACCCTCAGGAAAAAAGATGGTCAATGATATCTGGCGCATCCGAGGGCTCTTGCGCGCCAGACTTGGAAGTCAACGGGAGTTCCGCCGAGTTTAATGGCGACGAGCCACCAACATTCAATGACCCACCGGTTTACGAGAAGCACGACAGGCTAGAACACAGCTCATCACCACCTCCACCATACATCGTCGAGAGCAAAACCTCCCAACCATCCCCAACAAGGTCCTCCCCGACAACGCCCGTCCCAACAGTGCCCTACAGATCCCTCCTAGATCCAGAAGCAGGTCTCCGACCGACCTCCCGTTCCAACAACCGCCCGGGCTCCAAAGACGGCGCCCCCGTGGCCCGCTCCTCCAGCCGTCGCTCGAAAAGCGAAGTGTCGGATAAACGCTCGAGCTGGGCATCGGTCCTAATGACCAGGGCCAGAAGCCAGGACAAAGAAAAGGGCCGTAAAAGTTCGGAATGGGCGAGAATCGGAACGCCGGCTTGGTTGGGCGAAGGTGGGACTAAGGGGGAGAGAAGGGAGTCTGAGTCGTCGTCGTCGTTGGGAGAAGCGGCAGTGGTGGTAGATGGGGATGAGAGGGATAGTGTGAAGAGTAAGGGGAAAGAACAGGGATTGAGAGAGGCTGTGTTTAAGGCTATGGAGAAGAAGGGGTCAAAGGAAGGGAGAGAAAAGGAGAAGGAGAAAGGCAAAGGCAAGGATAAGGGCAAAGGCAAGGAGGCGGTGAGGAGGAAGGGGAGTAAAGATAAGGATTTGAGGGAGTGTATCATTCAGTGACCACTACTCAAGTGCAACTATGGAGTGGCAGCGGCAGCGGCGTGCGTTCGCCATCTGTTTTTCTCGGGTTGTTTTTCTTTTGTTCTTGCTAGGGATCTTGTCATGTCCACGGAGTTTACGGGCGGTTTGCTTGCTGGATTACCACTGGGAGGGATATATCTTTTTCTTCTAATATAGAAAGACAAAATAAGAGCACCTGTTTCTCACGTGTGAGGGCTCTTTTGTGAGGGTTGAGTTATGTTATTATGTTTTCCCTCTGTCTTCTCTCTTTTTTCTTTTTCTCTTTTCTCTTGGGATGGGATAATGGCTGGGTGGTTAAGGTCTTGCTAATGATAGAACGCCTATCACCAAAAAAATTAAAAATTAAAAGTCGGGGGGTTTCCCGCAGGTGACTTGGTTTGGTGCTACTGGTTTATGGTAGGTGTCCCGGTTTGGCGGTGGTTAAGAGTAGGTGTATTATTTTGGCTGTGAATGGTAATTTAATTCCTCTCATATACTTGGATCACTCGCGAGTTATGAAATTGGAGTATGATGCCGTGGCATCGTGTGTGGCTTATATGGATGGGCGAAGCTACTTACAATCTCTTGGGACATTTATATGAGATGATAGGTACTCGAGTATACCCTACGAGTACAGTACTCGTAGCTATACAAAAACACTAGGGATGGCCTGAAGGAAAACTGCGGAGCGTTTGTAGGAGGGTTAAAGTATAGTACGGTATCATCTTCCATCACTGTAGTGTCTTTGTGACTTTAGAATAAGCATAGTTAGCCTAGGTCGCGTATAGTACCGGTATCATACGTCGTTAGTTTGAGCAGTTCCGAAATTTATGACAATACTCGAATAGACTACTCGTAGCAGGTTTTGGAGTGGCGGGACCCTAAGGTATGATACCGGTACTTGTGTCATATCAAGCCTCAGTACTACACGAAGGTTACCCTCCTTCCGACAGTGAGTTTCTTGGGGCACCACGACTTCCTCTTTCCTTCTTTCCTCCCCAACTTTTCCACCAAGCCCCACAAGCACACAACTCACCCCCAGCACACGAAAAGAAAATAAACACTCAACCGAAATATGGGCTCCGTCGTCCTCCCGCACCTCAAAACCGGCTGGCACGTGGACCAAGCCATAATGTCAGAGGACGACCGACTCGTCGTGATCCGCTTCGGGCGCGACTGGGACCCGGACTGCATGCGCCAGGACGAGATCCTCTACCGCATCGCGGACAAGGTCAAGAACTTTGCTGTCGTCTACCTTTGCGACATCGACGAGGTGCCCGACTTCAACAAGATGTACGAACTCTACGACCCGCTCACCATCATGTTCTTCTTCCGCAACAAGCATATGATGTGCGACTTTGGTACCGGGAACAACAACAAGATGAATTGGGTACTGGAGGATAAGCAAGAGTTGATTGACATTGTGAGTAACCAAGTGAGGGGAGGGGATGGTGGAGATAGATGCTGATGGTTTCCCCCCCCCCCCCCAGATCGAAACGATTTACAAAGGTGCGAGAAAGGGTCGTGGATTGGTGGTTAGCCCAAAGGATTATAGTACTAGATATCGGTACTAGGTTGTGCCGATTTTTGTTCACTTTCGCGAGGAGTTCGATTTGGATGGAATGGAATGAGACGGGGTGGGATGAGGACGGGGTCTTAATGTTAGTATGCACGTTTTGTAACACTTTACGCTTTTACGAAATTGCAATTTGTTAATCCTATTTTCGCAGAGGTTTTGTGCACTGTGGTGGTTGGTATGAAGCTTAGTGATTGTGTTGCTGTTTTCTGGATTGATGCTAGGTAGGTAGGTACGGTATCATAGCTCTCCGTACAGTAGTGATTGGATCGTAGATACTAACTTGATAGTCAAAAAGTCCCCCCCCCCCAAATTCCCAGCACTAAGTAGATATCCCGAACTCAAATATGTATCCGGTTAGGGGGGTTGCAGATATCATACTCGTAAACTCACAACGTACAAACCTCCATCACTAACCCACAAAAACAAACAATATAGCAGCACAACCCATTGACATTGACCAGTCCAGTTTTAATTTTTATATACCCGCTATATACTACCGTCAATCCAACCCGGCATTTCAGATCATAATCAGTGCCCACCTCAACCGCTACGCATCAGAGCACAACATATCTATCACCGGTATACCATATCTTTCACAAATTCTACCCCCAAACTTAGCGGGGGAGGGGGGTGGTGATGTAGTCAACTAAATTCATCGCTTCTCACTCGACAAACTTTGACTTCCCATTACGATACTCCCTCCTCCTCCTCTAGCAATGGCGTGACACACCTGAAAAAATGCACTCTGTTTGGATGGACTGGACCGGGCCGGATCGGATCGGCTCCGGTAGGTATTTTGACGGTGTCTGGATGGATGGAGCCGATGTTTCCCCCCCTTCCGAAACCAAGATACATATCATACGTGTTTGGTCATTTGGCGATCGTGTGGTTCGGGGTGCTGTGAGTGTGTTGCTTTGTAACTTTGCTGGATAGGCTGCTGAATCGGGCTGTGCAGTACTGTACGATCCCCCCCCCACTCCTCCCGCTCTATTCTGAAGGTATCATACTGTACGGTACATAAATTCGGGGGGGGGTGCGAATCGTCGTTGGTCGTAGGTCGTGTTGTATGGTACCTCGTCTCAACAGAGCAAAACAGCGCCAGAATGGTAATAAAAATAAAATAAAAATATCAGCATGAGTAATCATTCAAGTTCGGTGTAAACCAGTTCGTGAATTCTCACCAAATTAAATTGAATAAATAACTCCTGGTTGTATACCTATGGGAGATATCATTTTTGGTGCAAATGGACGGCCAACGGTTGGATATGTCACTGAGCTGTACATTACCGTGAATTTCTATCGAGTGCTTGGTCTACGCACCCATACATTCAATTTCCTGTCTCATCCCACCCATCTCATCTCAATTTCCATCCTGCTATACATAGCAGGTAAGCAAGTGAGCTGCCCAAAAGAAAGAAATGCGCTAACTTCGTTGGAACAAAAACAACACAAGAAAGGAAGGGGATGCAAAGAGAGAGAGAAAGAGGGGGAAATGTGAAACCACTGGTAAACGCGAATATGAAAATGAAAATCAAGCTCTCGCAACACAAGAACGCCCAAACCGAGATTCCGAAATCTGTCGTGTCGAAGAAGGATAGGATTTTTTTTATATTTTATTTTTTTGAGTTGTAGCGAGATAAAGTCAATGATAAAAACTTCTACTCCCATCCATGTAATAAATAGATAGCATACTTAGAAAACAGTGGAATGCATGTAACTACTTTTTACATTGACATGAGTGAGTTTTGCGCGTACGCCATGGCCTTGATCGGGGGATGTTCGACGGCGTCAAAGACATTGTGTTCCAGTTTGTAATCCGATCCTACGTTGATGTAGGCACCCTTATTTCCGGAGGTATCGACGTAGTTTGGTGCAGAGAAGACTGCGATTGTTAGAACGTATCTAGTCAGTTAAGCTTGGGGCGGGAGAGGTTCCGTACCGGTGATACACCGTCCATCGTGCTCCACCTCGTAGCCTCCCATCCGGACCTCGTGACTTCTGATAATGGCTTCTAACCCATTGCGCTCGCAGAAAGACTTCGTAACGTCCGGACCAAATTGCTGACCAACACCACGCTTGCTAGGTCTGCGGCCAGGGTCAGGCTGTGGATCGGTCCACAGCATCTCCATCATTCTAAAGGTAGCCGATTAGTAACCGAAATCCTCAAACCCGAATAGAAAGGGAGCATACAGTCCTTCCTGTCCAGGTTGCTTCTTCAAGTGACGGTTCAACTTTCGGATGTCATCTAGATTAACCTTATCGTCGGAGAACAACCCTCCATGAAGAACCAGGTACTTGGAGCCAACTAGCGTAGCTAAAGGCAGAGCGCTGAATGCTTCCGAGAACAATTTGAACATGCGCTCATTGTACTTGGCTTTACACTCTCCCTCAAATCCGTAAACCCTGTTCATGTCATCCGTCTCATGATTGCCACGATTTATGTAGAAGTTGTTGGGGAAGAGCCATTTATAGGAGAACAAAAGGAAAGCAATCTCAGTGGACCAAGATCCCCGATCAACAAAGTCACCGTTAAATAAATATGCGTGCGTCTCTGCCGGGAATCCATTGCGACGGAAGATCTCCAACAGATCGAAATATTGACCTGTCACTCATCAGCATGATTCGGGTGATGTTGAAGAGCCAAAATACCATGGGTGTCCCCGCAAATTGTCATCTTATTGCCGTCTGGGATAGTGACTTCTGGCATGGTTGGCTCGGCGTAGAATATCTCCTTCGCCTTGAGGATAATCTGGTATGCGTATTTCTTATGAATTGTCTTGCCGTTCTTAAACCTCTCGATCATATCGTCGATGAACTCCTGTGTCATCTCCTTTTCGAGGCGAACGCCGTCGTACTCATTCTCAACCACTAAACGCTCAAAAAATTTAGAACCTTCAACCTAAGGTTTTTGCGTTTCCTCTTCCGGGGTGGGGAAGCACGGGCGGGCTCTAACACACCTATAGAATCCAGATCTAGACCCTCAGCAGCAGATGGTGGATCACTCTGCTCGATAGCCTTCAGGAAATCAATCTTCCGAATAAGCTTCTCGCATTCGTTCATTTTTAGTCGGGCATCTTTGTCGTTTGGAGCTAAGCACAATACCGCCGAAGCAATCCGCCCCCGAGAATATTAGCCCCCCATCGAAAAAGACCGAAGGAATCACCGGAGTTTCCCAGAACAGGTCCCCAGAGATCGCAGTATAGAACCTTTTTTGCAAACAGTCCTGAAGTCCTTAAGAGCCTCCTTGTACTTCAAGAGTGCCACGTTGGAGATTGCCCTTCGGTAGTAGGCCTTCGAAACCAAACAACCGTCAGCAATCAAAAACCACACTATAGCCTCGCCCGCATCTCTTGTTCTTAAGCTCAAAAACAGTTTCCACAGACCTTAACGGATGCCGGATCTATCTCAATCGCCTTTGCTGCGTCCTCGATGGCGGATCCGTACGCTTCCATCCTTATATGTGCCTAGGGTAGAGTTATGTCGCCGATAAGTCCCCGAACAACAAGCTTTCCCGATAAGAAGGTAAGACTATATACTTGGGCCCTATTGGAGTAGAATAACGCTTGGTTCGGATCGAGCTCTATGGCTTGAGTGTAGAAGTCAACCGCAGTCTGCGATCGCCATCATCAGCCTGAACAAATCTCCCCAGCTCCGTTCGCTCTCCACCAAACTAAGGAAAGGAAACAGAGTAAACTGTTCAGATAGTTACCTTCCAATCTCTACTAGCTATCGCAGCATTCCCCTTGGCTTTCAACTCTAGCGCCTCCGTTGAAGCACTCGTCATTTTTATTGTTTTCGGAATTTTCCGGCGAAGGTTCTGGTGTAGAGGAATGTAATGAATTCCGAACTGGTCCGTGCTTACGCAGTTTTTAAGGGACGGCAAAGCGGTTAGTTTCGAAGATAAAGAAGAGAGGGATCTGGAGAAGGAGATAGTGGGGAATGATAGAATAAAGATGGAGAACACAGGGTCCTAAAGAGGTGGTGGGGGAAGAAATTCCCAAAGAGGCTGACGGTGAGGATTGGTTTGGGTGGTTGTTCTTTTCTTTTTCTCACAAGAATAGCGGAGAGCACGTGATAACAGAGCGCCTAAACTCTGACAGGGTTATGAGTGATATCGAGTCGAGTCACGCAACGCTCAGGGGCGGGCATTCACAGTCAAGATACAGATAGCAGTCCTCTCGGGTGTAGGGTTTTTTCCCTATAAAGGCGGCGTTTCAATTGTGTATGATATCATACTCGAGCGGTGAACATTCGGGTTATCATGCTCATTGAAACCTAGATAATGACAGTACCTGTTTTTGATACAGTGGTGTAGCCGCAAAGAGGAAGCTACGTGACCGCGAGTTACATCCTCACATACTATCACTCGTACTTTAACCCCAACAACCTTATCAAGCCAAGAGTAAACCAGGATAGTGAAACGAAACACAACGATGACTTGTTTCGTGTCACTGTACTTTGGCCTGAGGTGGCCTATCTTAAAACTTTAGAGTCTTAGGCCTTGCCGAATGAAGGAGGGTGGGTATTGGGAGGGCTTTTTTTTTTTGGCGGGAGAGTGATATCATGCATAGAAAGAGTACAATTTTTTGGTATCCTTGTGTCAAGGGGTTTATGGGAATGGTTCAATGATATTATCGGGAAATATAAGTGCCAATATTTTTGAAATTTGGGTGTAACAGCACTATCCGTATCATAGTTCTTGGTATTTTTCTGCATAGACACCCCACGAATTGGTGAGTAGACCTAAAAGCTTGAACTAAGTCTCAATCTATAATACCGGTATGGTGGTATGGCGCTGTGCTTGGAAGAGTTCACTAATCTAATGACATCTTAGGCTCGGATACTGCCTTCCGCTCCATGGTATTTTTGAAATATTTCTCTCAGTGGATAGGTAATAGAGGCCTCCACCTCGAACACCTCGAACACCTTTCTCTCTTCCCACAGCCACCATCTAATATCAGAATAGCCACACCTTTCCTCAATTTGTTTCCTGGGGATGTTCTGGATGTTTGTTTTACTGGAGTAGAAGCTCATACTTTGTTACTGAACCATTAGCTTTCGAACATAGAGATATCATAGAAGGGTCTCCTGCCGGATCCCTTTCCTTCTGCATAGGTCGTTATCCGGATAATCTAGATATGATACGGTCGATAATTGGCCAGGACTCTTGTGACATTGTAGGGTGTATTCTGAGCACCTGGTCGACCCAAAGTCAGTAGCAGGGCTCGCGAAAACCCGATATGAAGGCTGGATTGGAAGGCAATTCCCGTGTCTATGCTCTGGGGCACATACTTAAGTCTAAAATATCACGGTGGAAGTACAGTACCCTTCGCCCTGAGGCCAGTAGTAATCGACTCTGACGACTATCCGATTCTCGAGTCTGGATGCCCAGCGCATAATAAACTTTCTTTATTTCTGTTTTAGAATAAAATTGCTCAATTACTTCATCTATCTTCAAGTGGTTACCATCTCGAGCAGAGCCTTTCTCCTACTAATTAGCAATACCTATTGTATCGTATTATGACAAAGGCTAACAATTTGTTGTGGGTTAGGTTTGGCTGCTCCCGCACCGCCAAGCCATGATCTGGATCCAAACCTTGCGTCTGGGCAGGGACAGTACCGGTAACTACTTTACCCCTGCGCAATAACAAATCCAATTCTAGAAAACCACCAGCCTAATCACCCCCAAGCCCACCCACCGGTGCTCAGAAACACCCTCTACCTAATATTGTTATGGCCCCTTCAATCACAGACAACAACCTTTCCATCCCGGATGCCGGCTCTGCGTCGGAGGTCACAGTCGCATCTGTCGCAGAAGCTCAAACCATCTCCGCAGGTTGGATCCCTCCATCAATCAATCCAGGAGTCACAGTTTGTACTAACGAACAACAGACGAAGTAGCTCTCTATGATCGCCAGATCCGACTATGGGGAATGGAAGCTCAGGCTAGGTATATCTTCTCACCTCCTTTTTTCCCCTCCGGTTAGACCTGACAAACAGCTTAGAATGCGCAATGCCCACATCTTAGTAATAACCATAAAAGCCCTCTCCAATGAAGTTTCGAAAAACCTGGTTCTTGCTGGAATTGGCTCTTTAACGGTCCTAGACCCCGGAATTGTTACCGGGGAGGATCTGGGCTCGCAGTTCTTCATAAGTGAGGAGAGTGTTGGCTTGAATGTTTGCTGTTCCCTTTCCAAAACATCTGGGAATTAGCTGATTGAGGGGTAGAGAGCGGAAGCGGCAGCACCGGCGTTGCAGCGATTGAATCCGCGTGTAGCGGTTAACATAGATACTTCGGACCCTAGGGGTAAAGATGCTGAATTCTATGGCAAGTTTGACATTGTTATTGCGACGGAATTGGACCTTGACTGTTTGGTATTCTATCCTCCTTTGACCCCCCAGTTGGTATATTCTAACGTTTAGTCTAAGATACACGTGAATGATATTACCCGTGAGTGTAATCGTCCTTTCTACGCCGCGGCATCATACGGGATGTACGGGTATATCTTTGCAGATCTGATAAGGCACGACTTCATCATGTATATACCCCCACCCAAACCCCGCACCATAAGCTAATGTGTATCCGTGTATCCCAGCGAGCGCGAAAAATCCAACATGAGAACCGAACTCAAACAAGAAACCAAAACCCGCTCTGTAATAGCCGTCAGCGAGAAGAAGGAATCTGGGAAAACAGTCGAATTCGTCACAAAACAAGAACTCTACTCCCCCCTCCGCTCCGTCATCTCAAGCAAGGTAGACTCAACCTGGCGTCCCCGCCGCCGCCGCATGGTCCCGAATGTCCTCCCGGGTGTGAAAGCTCTCTGGAAATTCCAGCAAGCTCACAATCGCTTGCCAGAAGCCAAACGCGAGGACTTTACCGAGATGACAAGATTGATCATGGAGGCTAACCGTGATATGGGCTTACCGAACGATATCGTCAAGTCGTGTTTTATCGCGCCATTTGTGGAAAACGCTACGTCGGAGGTGGCCCCCGTTGCGGCGGTTCTGGGCGGGATCCTGGCGCAGGATGTCATTAATGTTCTCGGGAAGAGGGAGCAGCCGTTGCAGAATTTTTTGGTGTTTGATGGTGATACGACTGCTACGCCGATTTTGGCATTACATCCTGAGGGAGAAGAGGATGGCGCTGCTTAACTGATTGTAGGGAAAGGAGGTGGAGGAATTGGAATATGCTTAATAAATTCCCGAAAACGGGGGCTAGCTCTAATTCCTCCGTATCGTTAGGCCAATCATTTGCTCTATTAGACCGAGGGCAAACTAGGCGAACCGACCCACTCCCGTATACCATAAATCCTGATCCTGACCCTAACCCTATGGATCTTATACTGTACATCATAATATCATATGGTATCATATTATGATACATTATCGTGCTCAGCAATGTCTATCGCCCCCTGCCCATCAAGAAGGCATTAACCCCATTCAGAAACGTCCTAGCAGGATTAACCTCATCCCTAGCCATGGTAACCCAAGCCAGCCTCCTCCGGATGTATGTCTTATCAACCACCCCCTTCCCCTCCCCGAGCTTCCTAAACTCCCCGTCATCATCATAATACATACACAACAACACCAGCGCAACGCAAGCCGATACGTGCTCCCCGCTATCGCAAGTGATAAGTATATTCCCTGCAGGATTAACGATGGAGGAGGTAATTTCCGGCAGGAGTTTTATCAAGAGTTTTGCGCCGGGGGAGTTATTTGGGATGGGGTGGTGGGATGGCATGGGCGTGATCCCCTCTGTAGGGGGGAGGGGGGAAGGTGACGTGCAGATTATGTGGTCGAAGGTAGGTGTTAAAGGGAGGGTTGGTATAGCTGATGTTGGGGCGATGGATATGTTTGTCCGGCCGATTCTGGTGATTTTCGAATCACCCAACGTGTTATCTAATAGTGGTGGAATGTTCTTGATTGCTTCTAGGAGGTCTTGTTCTGGTGTGGACATTATTTTTGTGTGGTGGTGCCAGAACAAAGCTGGTGTTAGGCCTGATTCCTGCTTGCTATCAGCGATAGTCCTAAGGGATGAGGGGGTGTAAGTACAGTAGCCCATCCCTCATGGTCGTCTCCGGCACCTTGGATGTACTCTCCTTCCATACCCTCCCCGCGTGTCATTTTCGATGCGGTTAGGAGGATGATAGGGGTAAAATCTTTGAATTCGGGAGGTGATACGGGGAGCGTAGACTCTGGGGATACCCATATCGGGCGGAGGGGCTTTATGATAGTTTGTTTGTACGTCGACAAATTCACACCTAATTCCTGTTACTCCACAAACCATCAGTCCGACCATCTACAATCATATTCAGATTAGAATTCTACCAAAAATCTCTCCACAAACCCCGGCACCAACCGCTCGATCTGTACTCTCTCACTCCCTGAAACCATCTTTTCGGAGACATACAATCCACCAAACTCCCGACCAAACAAACACCAATTCACGACCGCGATCCAAATTGGCACCGTCCTACTCAGCGCATCAGGGAACCTCTTCCCCCGTCTCGTCGAGTCCACGAGGACAACGCCACCGCACCTCCCCACGCGCTCCAAAATATGCAAGTTCAGCCTCCGCAGACTGAAACCCCATTGCCCCGGGTGTCCGTCGGTGCTCTTGAAATACGCACTCGTATTGCTTCCCCTGTGCTCTGGCGGGACGTACCAGTCACCCGCCCGGGCGTTGGGTATAAGCGGGAGGGCGTATGCGGCCGCAACGCTGAGGACAAATTGTGAGTCTGCGGTGATTGATGTGAGGCGGTTTCTTAGGCTGCGGGTCTGCGTGCGGAGTGAGTTTTTTAGGGAGGAGTGAGTTGGGCGGATTGTTGATAGGAGGTCTGGGGTTAGTGTGAAGGTGTATTGGGTTAGGTCTTCGGGTTCTGGGCTGGAGGTGTCAAGTTCTTCGGGCTCGATAGAGGTCAGTTCTGTTTTTGTTGTTGCGATTAAGGGGGTCATTTTGAGATGTGATGGGTTGCTCGGAGGCATTGTTGCGAGATTAGGGGCGGAAGTGATACTGGAAACGGTTTGATGCAGCTCCAGGATTTCTTTTTCGAAAGGCTTACTGTAGCCGGGATATGAAGGTGGGGCTTGGTGGGGTGGAATTTTTTCCTTGACATTTCTCCCCTCTGTCCCATCTCCTTTCAATGTGAGGGGCTTGTATCATATCATACTCGTACCAAGCTCTTAACCACGCACTGGAACGGGTCATACGGATTTCATATTTTAATCTCACAGCAGCAATTTATCGCAATAATTAGAATAAATAAATAAAATTTGAAGTGTAAATAAGAATAGCAAGTAGTCAAGTACTCTTTTTTTTTGTAAAAAAATCAATAAACAAACACGGAACCAAGCATGAAAACCATTGCTAGTTGACAGATAGAGAAGGAAATCTTGTTATATAATCTAGGAATCATTTGCTAACCCCCCATCCGGCACCAAATCTTACTAGAACATGAAATCAGTTCAAAGAATACCATAGCAGAAAAAATCAGAAATTCATTTTACGCCTTTTCCCGAAGAAAAAAACATCATTACCACCCCCTCTTCGCGAGCTTCTGAGATTCGGGTAAAGTGTCGACATTGAGGCCAACCATTGCTTCACCCAGGTCACAGCTAACTTCAGCTAAAACCTTAGGATCGTTGTAATGAGTGACAGCTTGAACAATTGCCCGCGCTCTAACAGCCGCGTTTCCGCTCTTGAAAATTCCGCTGCCGACAAAGACACCGTCGCATCCCAATTGCATCATAAGTGCGGCGTCAGCAGGGGTGGCGACACCTCCAGCAGCAAAGTTAACCACGGGAAGACGGCCGAGTTTAGCAGTTTCCTTGAGGAGATCGAATGGCGCACCGATTTCCTTCGCGTAAACATAAAGTTCATCGTCGGACATCAGAACAGCTCTGCGAATCTCGGCAGTGACGGTGCGCATGTGCTTAACTGCCTCAACAACATCGCCAGTTCCTGCTTCACCCTTGGTACGGACTGAAGACCGTCAGTCATTCAGCCAATAGATTTGAAGGTTTAGAGATCCTCACTCATAGCAGCGCCTTCGCTGATTCTACGAAGGGCCTCGCCAAGGTTCCTGCACCCACAGACGAAGGGAACCTTGAAGCCATGCTTAACAACATGGTGGGTATTATCGGCGGGTGTCAAAACTTCAGATTCGTCAATGTAATCCACACCCAAAGCCTCCAGAATCTAGATGTTAAATGAGTAAAACAGCCCTTGAGTGTTGGAAACTCTCTGCCCCCAAAACATACCTGGCACTCAACAAAGTGACCAATTCTCGCCTTTGCCATGACAGGAATGGTGACAGCCTCCATAATCTCCTTTATAAGCTTGGGGTCGGACATTCTGGCAACACCACCTTGGACTCTAATATCAGCGGGGACACGTTCGAGTGCCATAACAGCGCAGGCACCAGCTTCCTCAGCAATTCTCGCCTAGTCAACTGTTAATATTTGCAAAGAAAAGATATTATCAGGCATCGAATCATACCTGCTCTGCATTAACAACGTCCATGATGACACCTCCTTTGAGCATACGAGCAAGGCCAGTCTTGACAGTAAAGTCGGTTGATGGAGCACTACGCTCGTGATTACCATTAACGGGCAATGCGGTAGACATATTAGTTAAAGGTTAATTAGCCTTGAGACAAAAGGCGTAAGAGTAGATTATTAGCGTCTGTGAAGATTGGTAGATGGGGAAGAGGGAGAAAAGGGCGAAGAAGGAGCGGACGGGTGGAAGGGCGAGGGTCGAGAAATTATGAGTCGACGACAAGCTTAAAATTTGATGCAGTGCGCGGGGAGGCGCGCGAGGGGCGAAGAAGGGGACAAGGCTCGACAGGGCAGAACTTGACAAGCAACCACCAGAATCGAAAGGGGGAAAGATCACTAGGGCAGAGTAAATTTTTGGAACTGGTACTCTCTTATTTCGTTCTCTCGGTCAATGACTGAGAAGACTCTATAAACATTTGAGAAAGGAGGAGACGTGAGAAGAAGAAAAGGGAGTTCGAATAATATTTTTTCCCTCCCATTCTTTTTATGTTGGTTAACTTACGGAAGGAAGCCCAAATGATTGAACCGTGTGCTATGGTAGGTAGTCCAAAATTTCCTTCTCTGGAAAAGGTGCGAAAAGCACGGCGAAAGGTGGGTCCTTTAGCCCCTCTGAAGGACATGAGGACAAAATAATAATAATACCAGACCTTACCGGATAGGACAGCTCGAACGACATACTGGTAGCATGCGGTTCGATTATTTGAGGTTCTACTCGTACTCGAGTACAGTATGGGACAGTTTGGCGGGCCCAGAGCTCCTCTATCCCCCCACCCTCCATTTTCCGACTGTCTACCGAGGTTATTGTTTCTTTCTCGCTCCATACGAGCACTGTATAATGGTTGTTTCCCCGGTTTATGACAAACAAGCGGGCAATGGGTCAACCCTCCGGCTCTCCACCGTCGGGTCTCTAAGCCCTGGATAGCAGTGGTTCTGAATCTCGAAAGGAATCCTCTCCTTTCTCATCCTCTTCGTTCCCTTTTTTACACCTTAGTTCTTCCTCCCTCCTTAATAGTATCATACTCGAGTATGTCCTAGCACAGTATCATACCAGCACCAGTAATTCCCCCAAGGGGCATGATATCGCTTCCTCCGGCCGGAAAAAATATTTTGCTCATGACTGACGATTGCCCCTCCTTTGCAGGTAGGTTTATCCTTGCGGAAGGAAAAAAATCCTCAGAAAAAAAAAACTCCCCCAATCCTCTAACCCGCAGTGTTATGATCTTGGCTTCACTTCTTACGTTATCGATTAAGTTAGTCTGCGGGATTGGCTGACCGAATTCTGGGGTCCTACAAATCTGCACTTTTCTCCGAGATTTTCCCCAATACGAGCCAGCGTTCGAGGTCAGTTGCATCGTTCCTCGCAGATGAGTGTCATTCATCTCTTGTCTCTTTTCACCCTGCATTGAATCGAGTGTGCCTCTTACCGACTTTAGGTTTGGGGTCAAATGGTTATTTGAAGTATAAATCTCCCATCATGATAATAATATTATCATCTCATATTATGACGTTAAACAGCCCCTATGCTAGTGCGCTGTGCTACGCATCTCAATTTTTCTCGTGACCCTAGTGAGTGGAGGTGGTGATGGAAACGAAAAGAATGAAATAGGAGGAACAGTGGGAAAAAGCAAACAAACGCCCCAGGATAAATAACGGTCCCCCGCTAACGATCTTGATAACATCTCCTTCATTAGCACGTGCGACAGATGTTTCCTTCATTACCCATATAGGCCATAAAATCCATGATTAAGCCTTCCCTACCAAGCCGGCAAACATCTGTCTCAACCCCCCGCATCTTTAGATTTACCCATTTTCGATCTACCCTTCAATCTTGGCTGCTGACGACGCCCACTCTTCAGCAATTTCTGGTTTTTACCGAAACCCGCTAAAGTTTCCACAGCTTTGGCCGGCAGGCTGATAAGTTTCCAGGTCAGCGAGAACGGGATGACGATCGCAGCACAGGCCCACTCGAACAGGATCATCGAGAAGGTGGTGTGGTTTTGCCTAGCAGAAGCAGCAGCAGTAAGGGTAAGAACATCGTTTAGACGGTTGTCTATCTCAAGGATTCGATTCTCCGTTTGGGCAGAGTGAACCGTCTCTCGTTTTTCGTAACGGCGCACCGCTCCTACGAGCCCGAATTAGCAATCCATTCCCCTAGGGCAGACATGTGCGATCAGCAGGAGGCTCAACTCGTCAAAGCATCCAAATGAGAACCTCTATCTACAGCCTTGGTCGTCATCAATGTGAGATCTCGAACTTCAGCACTCAGTTCTTCCAACCTCGCTGTCAAAGCATCTATCCTAGTCATCGGTGGGTGATGCACAACCGAATGAAGATATAAACTCCTATTCCGAATCAACTTGACCACTTGAGCCGCAGGCCTGAGCTCCGCTGCAAGAACAAATATCGTGAGATTGAAATTTGACACAAGCCCCTCGCTAGGCCTAGACAACTGCGACCTGATAGCATGCAGTAACGAACCCCCTACACATGGACCGACAAAGCAAGCCAGAAGAGCTAACACCTCGTTCATCCGCAATTCCCTAGCAGCAGCCGCCCTCAACCTTTCTTCATGTGCGGACCGCGTCGCATCCGGTGCATCGCCATCCTTCAAGAACTCCACCGGCGTCGCCAGGGCTTCAAACGCATCTCGCTCGTACCGTAAGGCTTGAGAGCTGCCATACCACTCCCTATCATCGTGCTTTCAGTTAGCAGCCTCTCTCCCCGTCCCAGAGTGGACCCAAGTAGAACAAACCACGGAAATTTAACCAGCCAATGCAAAAACACCGCCACCAGGAAGATAAGAATAACATCCGTGAAAAAGTAACTTCCATCAGTAAAGAGTATACCTCCAAGGGCAGGTAAGAGTGCAAACGCGAGCGGGACGTTATGCCAGGGCGATGAGTCCGCGTCCGTCGGTAATGGAACGAGCACTTTTGTAGCGTCCTGGAGATTCTCTGGCAGCAGCGAATTCCTCCGACTTGTACTCTGCAACGGTGACTCTGGCGGTGCATTCATCGGTGGGGAGCCTGCAGGCCACTTTCGCGGGGTACCAGCACTTGAAGCTCCACCGTTCATGTTGTTTCGTGGAGAGCGCATACCATTCCCGCCCCCACCGCCACCTCCTAGCACTCCTCCGCCTTCAGCCGTGGACCGATAAACAAGCGGACTCTGCGCTGCTGCTGCTGTTGCCGCAGTAGCAGCACTCGAAGCTGAGAATCTGGATGTCATTTTTGAAGGTGAGGATGGGAGGAGATGAACTGAGTGTTCATCGTCATTCTCTTTCTTTAAAACCCTCTCCCCCTTCCTTTCTTCCCCCCCTTGGTTCGGCTGCGTGCGTGCGGAAACTGAAGGCAGAAAGGGAGGGTAGAAGCTGAATGGTTGCGCGTCACGCTTTTGGCGGCGGAGAATGTCTCTTTTTCTCTCTCGTTCTTTGGTGTGTGTGTGCTGCGTGCATTTTGACTGGGTGGGTGTGTGTAGTGGATGGAGAGATAACTTCCGGATTGAATTGTGTGGATTGTGCTATTAGCAACCCAGCCTCCCCACCCCCCTTTCCTTCTTTCGACTGCCGCTGTGTTGATGCGACCTCTCCTTTCCTTTTTTTCCTCCCTCCCAACGTGGTACTGTACAGATCTCCCCTGCCCCTTCATCTATGATACCCGTCCAATCTGCCATACTCGATGGGCTATTACCGGTGTCCAAATGTGTGCTGGTATCATAAAATCGCAGCTAAAACTTCACAATACTCTCCATGAACGCCATCGCACAAGTAAAATTCCCGGTCTTCCCCTCTCCCGGCACTCGTGCTTGTGACGGCGAATTATTCGAAATGTGGAGAATCCTTGCTAAGTTCCTGGTTAAGGTATCATACGGTACTTGTGTTCAAAGCTGTTGGGTGTACTATAATACAGTAGTACTCGAGTAGCGGAACCCGGGGGAAGGCGGCAGGGAAGGGTTCGAGCGAGTCGTCATTTTGGCGTATTGTACGCTAGTTGGTAATGTGTGTTTGGGTTAACTTCACAGGACAGGGGGGTTGGAGCTTGGGGTTAGGCAGGTATAGTGCCGGTCAAGAGTAACCTGGGTATTGTAACATTCGGTTTTGTGATTAATAATCATGTTTCTTGGCACTTTGCGGGGTAGAGAAGAGTGCGATATCCTTTGAAGAGTAAAATTATATAGACTATCAACACCGAAAAAGCCACTCCGACGGAAGAAAAAGTCCGCCAAACTCAAGAAAATCCACTCTCTATTGAAGAAATCTCAAGAGATAAACCTGAACATGCCGAGACCAACATGCAAGCGGGCTGCTACAAGAGCAGCAGCGGAGGCCAGTAGAGAGAAGAGGAGGCGAGAGGATGCTGCCCGTAAAGATGCAGAAGCTGCTCTAGGTGGCTTAGGAAGTGAGTGGACAGCGGAACTGTCTATGCTACATGCCGGGTTTTTTGAAGACACAGAGGAAATGTATGAGCAAGACGAGGCTGAGAGGGAGGAAAGTCAGGGTGAAGAGGAGGAAGGTAGACATCTTGGGAGTGAGTCTTGTGTTATTGGTGCGGGAGGGACTACTGGCAGTTCAGTGTAGTGAGGGCTGATGAAGAGGATGAGGGAGAAATGGAAGTAAAGGAAAGTATATTAGAGGAAATGATGCAAAATAAAAGAATTTGGGACGAGGTAGAAAAGCATCAGCACTTTCAATACCAGCGGGGGGCAACTTTCTCAAGACTAACAGAATGGTGACTACGAACACAGGAGCAAGAGCTTGTAGTTGCCGCTGCCTCTTCATCCACTCTTGATTCCTGGCTCGCTTTCAGAACCATTAGCACTACTCAAATACGATCTGCCTCAAACTCACCGCCATTGACTTTGAAGGAAATTCGTGAGTGGACAGTTGATAGTGCAGTTCAAAGTCTAAAACATTTATTAGAGTCTAAGTTCAAACCAATTGGGCAGGACTATACCTGCCATCTTGCTGTTCTCCACTTTTTTTACCTTCAACGAAAATGGCCAGGTGTTTCACGCAAAGACCTGTCTCTTGCAGTAGCAAATGCTTTTAACCGAGGACGATGGGTAGCTAACCAAATTGTCACCTGGGAAAGGATGTGGATCTCTGAACGGCGGATACCCGAAGGTATGCAGGGCAAAATTTTTTTTGTTAGTTGGCTAAATGATGAGGGAGTTGAGCTTGCCGTTAGAGAGTATATGTCAGAAGCAGGGGAAGGAATTTCAGCTTCGGGGCTTGCAAAGGCAATAACTACTTATATAGAAGTTATTGAGGCATAGAAGGACTTTGTGGATGCATTGGAGGATGATATAGAGGTAGCAGAGAGGGAACTGGGAGGCAAAGAGAAAAAAGGAATTGGAGCATGGACTGGATGGTGATGGCTCAGAAAGATAGGACTTAAATACCGGGAAGCAAAGAAAGGAGTATACATCAATGGATACAAGCATACAGATGTAGTTGAATACCGTTCAACTGTTTTTCTGCCCTGGTATCAGGAGCTATTGAACTCATCTCGCCAGTGGATAGAGGAGGCCAATATTGTTCCTTCAGTACTCCTACGCGGCCAAAAAGAAAAATTCTAATTACTTACAATGAATCAACTTTCTATGTCAACGATGGGCGCCGATTCATGTGGTTGGGGGAAAACAAGCAACCTTTATGCCCAAAAAACCGAGGAAGAGGGATTATGGTATCTGAATTTCTAAACCCGGTTGGATGTCTCTGCCTTTCTGATACAATTACTGATGAAGCAATAGAGTTTCGACAGCTACCCTGCCGTCAAGCTACTGAGTACTTGGAGTATAGAAAGGACAACGACTGAGATGGTGACAAGATGGTATGCTATACTTTGGAGATTGCACTACCAATTTTTGAAGCGGCGTACCCTTATTGTCAAGGTGTTTGGCGATTTGACAATGCTACCAACCATTTGGCCTATACAGATGATGCACTAGTGGCAAATGGGATGAACTTTAAGTCTGGTGGACAACAGCTGGTCATGAGAGAAGGCTTTATTCACTGTAAAGGCCGGCCACAACCAATGACCTTTTCTGATACTTATAGTACTCTAGTTCCAAGAGGACTTCCCAAAGGCATGAAACAAATTCTCATAGAAAGTAGACTCTATCGCCCTAAGCTCAGAGCTGTTTGTAAGAATCCTAAAGGCAAGAAGATTTGTAGGCCAGAAGTGGTAGACTGTTGCTGTCAACACATTCTAAGTCAACAAAGGGACTTTCTTGAGCAAAAAGGCAAGCTGTAGGAAGAACTTGAGTTCCGGGAGCATATTGTTCTCTTTTATCCCTGCTTTTATAGTGAATTAAATTTTATAGAATATTTTTGGAGATATGTGAAGTCTGAGGTAAGAGAAAATTGCGATTATAAGATGGAAGGTCTATGACAAAATGTGCCTCAGGCACTAGCTAATGTTCCTATTTGAACTATCTGGAGGTTTTATGCAAAATGCCTTCATACTATAGATGCCTATCGTGATGGATACATCTATGATACAAAAGACTTTCAACATCATGTATATAAAAGCCACCGTAAGGTAAAGGAAAAGGATGTAGAGAGAGGTAGGATATTTCTTTACTACAGGCAGATTAATTTTTCTAGGTATTTTCTGGGGATTTACTATGCGGATAGCAGATTTGAGTGATATCTCATGATTTACTTTACGATCTCAGCCTCTCATGCCCTTCTGTTTTCTGTAACATTCATTTAGTCTTCCATACAAATTGCTCCAACTTCAAACTCTTACCCGTCTCCAACCAGAAAAGCTTTCACAGGTTTAAGAGCGACCTGTGATAGAGTACCTCAAAGAGTATATGTTTTTGTTAGGAATACTGGGATCCAATACCTAGGAATTATTCTAAGTAGGATAACTCCACTTGGAATCAGAATCCCTAGTCTCCCACACCCCCTCCAGCCCCCTTAATGGGCCCGCACGTTATCATATATATCAGTCTCAGTTGCATCCTGTGACTATAATGCCACAGAATTGAAGGTGTCAGAATAACACCATAGATGTTGCCGCCATCTATCTGTCCGGATCCTGTTCACAGCATATGTGAGAGGGGACCTTCAGCTTAGTCTGGGAAGTAGAAAAGAGTAAATCCATCAACTACTCACAAAGCTACTAGGCTTTAAAGACGTAATATCTTAGGTATGGGCCATAAGTAACAGGACCTATTTGCGTGAAGAGATGGTATTGAATGATAAAGGATCTTAATGAGAAACCAATACATTCGCATCTACCCTACAATAATCAGAAGATTCTAGAACTCTGAGGGGCAATACCATAGAAGCCAATGGACTTCACAGAGTGTTTCAACTAGGTTTCGGAACATGTTGTAGCTGCGGGGATGACTTCCAATACTATAACAGCAATTGCAACCCTGTCACCCAGAGCAACTAAGGGTTGCTGACCGAGGGATTATTTACCAATCTGGTAGAATAGCTTCCTGCGAAGTAGTAGGAAGTTTTCTGGAAGATATCAATTCATTAAGTAAGAAGTTCTAAAGGTTTGAAGTCAAGCGACCTAAAAAGATTACAATTACGACTACCTTCGCGGATACAACCCACAGATGAAACTGACTATTTCATCAATGACGAAGACAATTAGGGCCAACTCAGTTCAACTTGAGAACTAGGCCATAAGTCTAAAGACTCTAATGATTGGATAATTACTACTGGGAACAGTATGGTTTGCAGTTAGTTATATTGTAATTGACGAAGAGAGTGTGGTAATTTTCAGTGTCTCCTAGTGTTCCATCATTTAAGAATACCTGATGTAGTGAGTTATAATCAGAGAGGTACATAGTTGTATAATAAATAGATGTAGTCTATGAACACTCAGATACAGAATATAAATATCGAAGTACCTCACAAGCTTTAAACATTATCAAGCAAGTGAGAAGAGACCTTAACAATATAATATTGTCTTGACATTTCAATTCTACTTTACCTATTTTACTTCACTCTTAGTAGTCATAAACGAAACGAGTGAAGTCCGAGCCTTTCTAGACAATCTCCGTCTACAGAAACGAATTTTGGTTGGCCTAGACAATACTAAAGTTTATCAGGTTGTCTCCACCTAACAGTTTTCGCTCTTAAAAAGAAAAAAATTCTTTTTTTGGTGGAGTAGAAGGATATCAAACTTGGATGATTATTTCTGAAAAAGTACTCATGTTACACTTGACTGGCACTCTACTTTACTTATAAGTACCAATACGTATGATATGAGAGAGTTACTTAGTAGAGTTTAATAGCTAGAACAAAAATAAGGTACATTAAGAACTTGAATAATTGTTACTTGCGTTAAGAGGTCAAATTAAACTATGTCTTGCTAGGGTTTATTGTGCAATATCAGTTTCACATTTTGCTAACTTTCTTCATTGGATACATTGAGATTATTTTCTCCTTCGTCAAGTACTTCTTTGTCCTCTGAGTCACTACTTTCAGTACAATTTCCTCCTCCTTACCCACAACCTTTTTAACTCCTCCACCAAGTATGTCTTATCTATCCCCTTTACAGATAGTTTCTGATCACAACTACTATCTCTAGGTAGCGACAAACTGATAAGCCGAAACACTTTCCTTACCACCTCCTGGCACTCATTCGAGAAGCACTCCTATGCCTCCCCTACTATCCATGTGGTAAGTACTCTCCTTATTCCCACCATGCTCCCTGTTAGCTTACTGCCTGCTAACAATATCTGCTCATCTGCCTCTTTGACTACATCTAATTCTTTCTCCAAAATCTTCTATTATGAGTTAGCTAAGTGGCTGGAGGGGGTTTTTTTTTTTGAAGTTAAGTGGGAATTTACTTTTAAAATATCTTTGAATGGATAGTTGATCAAAACGTCTAGTGGCAACACAAGTGATGTACACCCTCCAGAAATAATGCTAACAGTTATATTATTAGCATAAAATGTATTGAGCACTTTCTCTGTCTTAGTAACGATCCTTCTCCGGATAGTTAGTTCTTGGCGATGGGGAACGATACT